GCTAATTTCTCTAAAATCTTAAACTTTAACAAAAAAAACTTAAAAAATTAAGAACTCAAATAACAAAACTATTGAAATCTCAATAATTTATTGCATAATAAGTTTCAAAAATCTCTCGTATTTTTTTGAAAGCTAGTGAAATCTCAACTTAAGAATTTGGTTCAGTATTCTTATTTTAAACTTTTGATGCCTAAATCAATCATGAAGTAGGTTTTTTCTCTTGGTTTCTTGTTAGATTTATTCTATATTTTCTTCTCAGCTTTAGGATCTATTTAATCAATGAAATCTGCTTTGCAACAACATATTTCAAAACCACAAACAACACAGGTTCCCAACCGAGAAGAACTAGTCGCATTGGCTGATTGATTAAGGGAAGGATTCATCAACGTACCGTTCCAAATTGTAAAACATTGTGCTTTTATTCATCAACTGGTACATATGGTAGATGTATAACATAATAGAAGAATAGATGAATCATATAACAATGGAATTAATAAAAACAAGAATTAAAACTCGTAAGTTGAATAAACTCTAAATCAAAATTGTAAAATAACTGAATAATTAAAATGCAAAAAATATCTTTTAGTAAACGAATGAATTTTTTTTCGAAACTAGTTATAATTGAAAAAAAAACATTTGTTATATTTCACATTTTATAATTCTATGCAAAATATTGTGAATGATATGTATTTGGTAGAATCAAGTTTCCAAAATATGAAAATGTGAAAGTTATAACGTGAAAAAGCTACATACCATTCATGTCGAAACTACCAAATACTAGTCTTTTTTTTTTGTCAACTGGTCTGATTATATAAAATACTAGTCTAAGAAAGCATTTTTTTGGTTTAATGAGGCAAAAATAGAATAGAGGGAGTTGGTAACTTGGTATATACAAACAGAGTCGTTGTCGTAAGGACATGGAGTGTAAAAGTGAAAGAACTGCGTTTGCTTTGCGTCATGAAATACAATTTGTATGATGCATGTTTCCCTTTTTTCTAATGGTTCAAAATGATTACGCAAACTATATTATATCATCATATGTACTTATAAAGAAAATCAAATAATATAAAATTGAGTTATTAACTTCTTCTATCGTACATTGGTTTCAAAACTGTCGTTGGGCCAAAAACAAGAGAAATTTAAAATTCATATAAGAAAAATCAAAACTGTAAACATTTTTTTGGGTCTAAATATAAAGATTATTATTGTACACATGAAAATTCTAATACAAATACACATTACCTTCATACTAAGAACAACACAAAATTGATGCAGAGTTTTGACACTCCACATAATTTTCCAAAACACTTGAGATGTGTTTATTGTAAGTTGCTTAAGAATCTCTAAACCAAAATCCAGCGATACACATCTTACACATACCAAGAATTCTTACTTTTGTTTTTGGGGAGAGAGAGGGAGAATAAAGAAGAAAAAATATACTTCATCCGTCTTTTAATAAAGTTTAAAAAAAAAAAAATTCTTTCAAATAAAATTATTTATTATATAAAATACAAAACAATTCAACCAATTAAAAAAAAGACTACACAATACTACAGAGCTCACTTCTTGAGTAGCAACGCACTACACTGAGCCATGATCTTCGAGGCTCTTGTGATTGAGTTTGTCGTGTAAAAATTCTCGACCACGGGTTTGAAAGGACTTGTTCCTACTGTCTCCTTGCACTCGGGTTTCAAAGGAGGTCCAAATGCAACCGGTTCTCGCTCATCTATGTGGACCATGTTTGGTGCACTATGGGCGCTTTGGGGTTAGTTTTGAATTTTAAGTTGGGCTTATGTTAAGTCCATTAGAAGAAGGTTAAATTTAACGTTACAATAAATTGGCCTAGGCCCATTAAGTAAAGCGAGGCGGTGGGAAGAGAGAAGCCCTAATAACCCTAAGCAGTCTTCTGTATCTATATAAAGCTGAAACCCTACCGATCTTTCTCTTCAATACAAAAATTTATTGACGGCTTTATCAGAATACCTAGTTTCGTAGATGTAGTTTATGTTCTTCTCCTTTTCTATGGAATTCTATGTTGGTTGCGGTTTTTTCTTGTGTCTATGTTTTCTTCGCTTGGTCTGATTCATTGATCTTAGGATGCTTCTTTGTTTGGTTACGTTTTTGATGGAAAGTGATGATAAGAAATTGTCGCCCCAGTCTTACTTGCATTTTTACAATGGATGCAATTTGGTGATTGACTTTTTTCCGTCTGATTCTCTTCAAATCTTACTCAATTGTTTTGTTTTAGGGTTTTTTTGTATAAATCTCAAGAGAGTTTATTTTTGAGTGGAATTGATATGATGAAATGGCATAATGTTTTGTGACACCCAGTCTGATCATTGTGATTGATTTGCCACTATCTGATCTTTTTCCGTTTTCAATTTTGATGTTATTTGAAAAGAGGAGTGAGGATATAATATCCATATGTCTGCAAATCTGAGAAAACAAACAGTGCTGATTCTAAGACTAATGCACTACCATCTGACCTCTTTTCCGATTGTTTTGTTTATTGTTTTTGTTCTACATCTGCGATCAATGATGCAAATTATGTCATATTTCAATGATGATTAAACAATGATTATTAATCTAATAGATCACCATCTTTCGGCTGAGATTGCAGATTTCTCTTTATTACTTCATTGATTTGTGTTTTTCTTATAATGGTGTGAATAAACAATGCCTATGGTATCTGATGTCCAAAATTAAAAAACATGTGGTTGGACATTTCGTTTTTCAGAGGCAGAAACTGAAACAAGAAAACAGGATTTGCGACACTGTTAGCTTCTTATTATATAAGCTACCTGTTACTCTTTTAGCCCTGTTTACATCTCTGTCTTGAGGATAACTTGTTTGGAGATCTAGAGTAAACACTTTATTAGAAACAATTTGATTGCCTTGTTGTACTGATTAGAAGTTTTGATTTTTCTTCTTATTAAACAACAATTCATATAATTGTTTGAATATTCCTTGACTATGCATAGCAAAAATTAATGAATCATCATCATCACCAATCAGCACACCATAACTTGATGACTCAGATATATACATCTGATCAAAGTAGGACATTTGCAATCTCAGTGCTTGGTCTGTTTACTCGACAGAATTATAACGATCGCTCTATAAGAATGAATATCAAGTTTATAATTATAATTCAATCGGGTAAACAGATCGAGCGCTGAGATCGCGAATTATAGATATTTTTAATCATTTATTGTGTGTTTTTGAATTAATTGTGAAGAAACAATGCCTATGGTATCTGATGTCCAAAGTTAATAAAAACATATGTAGTTGGACATTTCGTTTTTCAGAGGCAGAAACTGAAACCAAGAAGATAGGATTTACGACACTGTTACTTTTTTAGCCCTGTATACATCTCAACTCTAGTTTTGGTTAACTAAAGTAAACCAATTAGTATTCTACTATTTTCCGTTGCTTTATGTGCAGGTTTATTGTTTTGGACTAGTAGTGGATTCTTATCCTGAGGATCCGGGGACTAGCTTTAGTAAATACTCTATTAGATGTAATTGGATTGTCTCGTTGTACTGATTAGACTTTTTTCTAGTGGGAAGTTGCCTTTTCAGTCATAAAACTAATCAATTTGTATTCTTTGTTCCTTTTGTATTGTTTGATGTGCAGGTTTATGGTCTTGGGCCGGAAGTGGATTTTCATTTGGATTTTTCGTATATTTCTTTGAATATCCCTTGACTAGCTTTCAATGCGACAATTTGCATTAAGATTTTGGAAAATTATGTTGTAAATGCATAGCAAACAATGTTTTTTGTTGTTGTTAACTTTGTACTCGCCCAAAGATGTTTATTAATAAAATAATTTAATATGAAATTTATATTATAATAGAAATGTATATTAGAAAATAATTACGAGATTTGAGAAGTACAAATTATATTTTGACATTCTCTAATTATATTACGAGATTTGAGAAGTACAAACTATATTCTGTAATTTAATCAGGGATAGGGTTTGGGTTGAAAGTTGAAAGTTTATTTTATTTTTGGAACAATTACCTTGTGTTTTTTTTTTAAATTTATTTTGGTACTGGTCATTGAATAAATCCTTTATTTTAGTATTTCACTAAGATGTTGTATTAACTCATGTCTCGTACAACATGTCTAAAGAAGAGAGCGTTATCATAACTCAGTTATGTTTCAGTTTCAAGCATTTCTAAATTCTGATTCATATAGAACATGTAGAGAGCTTTCTCTTTGCCTGTGCTCTGAGTCTTCTTTTTCACCCAACTCACTTCCCGAACAAGTTGTATAGCCTAGAAATCATCACCCATTCTCTTTTGATTGTGAAGAAAGCGCATAAGTGATTCAGGCCTTCTCATTTTCGGAGGCCCAATCATGAATTTTGTTAGAATTTAAAATAAAGTTATCATTCGCCGGTTACCAATTAATGCATTAAAATATATTTGATTAATCGGATTAAGCTCTATTGTGAAACTCATGGATAGCTGGATTGAAGAATCGTTAGTTGAATGGGTCATACAACTTCCCATGTTTCTTGCTATCTCCATGTTCAGACATTCTTTCAAATCCATTACGACTTGAGTTATCGTCCGTCTACGTGGGAGAAGACGGATTCAGGCAAGTCATTGTGGTCTCAACAACTTTCCATATAGTGCTCGGAACGGATCAAAGTCTCTTTCATCGCTTTTCTCCTCTTGATAGCCTCAAACCAACCCATTCACCTATAAGCTTCGGATATACAGAGAACTTCCAACGGATGATTTGGTAGAGGAGATACTCTGTCGCGTTCCGGCCACACCTCTGAAACGATTACGATCTACTTGCAAAAGATGGAACCATTTATTCAACAAACGGAGATTCACAACGAAACATTCTGACAAAGCCGCAAAGGAGCTTCTGTTTCTCATGTTGACCCGTGAGCGTCAATCTCCATGGAATTGTTCCATCTGTAGAGGTAAAACGTGAGCTTAGCCTAATCGACCCTCGTTCTAATAATTCAGATCAATTCGATATATCTGGAGTCTTTCACTGCGACGGCTTATTATTATGCACCTCCAATGAGCTATCTAGACTTGTGGTTTGGAACCCCTGTACTGGTGAAACCAGGTGGATCAAAGCCGGTCGCAATAAAACCGCCAGCTATGTCCTCGGATACTACCAAGACAGCAAATCCTACAAAGTATTGAGCTTTTGTACTTCCACCAAGTCTTCTGAAATGTACGAGTTTAACTCTTGATCATGATATCACTCGACTTTGGTTGCTCTGATCACAGTGTGTCTTTGAAGGGGAATACTTGCTGGTTAGCTACAGATGAAACAAAAACGTATACTTGCTCAGATTTGATTTTTCATCAGAGAAATCATCTCTACTTGTGCCTCTTCCCCATCAGTGTTTACCTGATGCATAATCACCAAGATCTCTCTTTCTGATATCTTAAGAGAAGATACCTGATACATAGGTGTTCACAGAGTTCTAGCTGTATGTATAACTGCTCGTTTTCAAGCCACGAGCAGTAGTATCCAACTACATTTTCATGAAATCCTGCAAACAAAACGGATAGAAGGTCTTAGCTTGCAAACAGGGAATAGCAGAATAGGTTCAGGACAAGAATTTGAATGATTCAATGTAAAACTCTCTGCATTAAACATTGAAATGCTTATCGAAAAAGTCAGGAAAAGAACACATCACCAGATAACACTTGAGTAACATCTCAAACTGATAAAGATTTCAACGTTGGACAATCGTCAGGCGATCAAACAAGACTATAACAACAATTGTAACCACAAAACAGCCAAGCAAGTCCCTTTCTGAAACCTATATCGTCTTCCCATCTGAAAATCTGTTTCTTTACGCATACTAATGGTGAACAAGCCGACATCTTTTGCTTTTAACTGTACATATTTAGTTTAACAGCGATCTAGGACAAGGAGAATGATCCTACAAAGTCATAAGAAAGAGAAATAAAACTATAAATAAATTAGAGACATCAAATAAAATATTAACATCTTTCTCTTTATTCACCTTGCTGATGTCTAAACAGTTGTGATTGTCCGGTGTTATATATATAATCGTCAAAGGTGTACTGAAAAACAAAAACAAATCAGAAAAATGAATTTATCAATAGCTGAGACATTACTACGAATTTTTTATTCATCAAACAAGAAACATTTTTTAGCCTAAACATAAATCTCTAAGATATCATGAAATTAAGTAACCCCAAAATAGTCCGACCAAGAAGATTGAGGAATCAGCCACGAGTTTGGTTATTGACCCGGCCTAAACCATGGGAAACAAAGCCAAAATATGATTATAAATACAAATAAAATCCATGATTTAGCAATACCTCCGCTGTAGCAATGGTTAAAATTGATGTCTTAGTATGAATTTCATGACTTTGATATGATTTCCGGGTTCGAAACCCGGCGGCGGAAAAGTATTTTGTTATTTTCTTATCAGTTTTGTTCTTATAATAAAATATACATGTTTTCCTCTCTAACTAATTAAACCCTAAGAAACAAAGCCAAAATATGATTATAAACACAAATAAGCCAACATACAGTTTTTACTCCCCAAATAAACGGCACGCAAAAGCGTACGAAGCTGGTCAGGATTAGGTAATTGTGTAACAATACTGAAAATAGTGACTGAGGACAACAAATTGTTGAACGTGATTACAAAGTAAAGATGTATCACGACCATAATTGTACTATCAATATATATATCACAATCTTCTGGAAATACAAAGACCAGA